TTACCGTTGTTTAAAACAAAACATTTACATCCAAAAGGATGAAAATAACTAATGTTAGGCTTTTTATTTTTGAAAATTTCATATGGAGTTTTCTTTAAAATTGGCCAATCATTACTCGATTTACAACATAACAAGCGGTATTTGTGGCTTCCGCCCAAAAATATTTTGGCAAATTATTTTCACAAAGCATGGTTCTAGCCATTTCTTCTAAAGTTTGATTTTTCCTCTCAACAACTCCATTTTGTTGAGGGGTTCTAGGTGCTGAAAAATTATGGCTAATACCGTTAGAGTTACAAAATTCAGTAAATCCAAGATTTTCAAATTCAGTTCCATGATCACTCCTAACACTAGTTATAGAGTAACCTTTTCATTTTGGATTACTTTGAAAATGTGATGAATGTTCTAATGCTTCATCTTTAGTATTTAAAAATAGAACCCAAGTATATCTAGAATAGTCATCTACCAAGACAAATGCATATTGTTTTCCACCCAAGCTAGTAGTTCTAGTTGGCCCAAAAAGATCTAAATGGATCAATTGTAAAACTCTACTAGTTGATACATCATTAATGGATTTAAAAGAAACTCGCTTTTGTTTTCCTTTAGCACAAGCATCACATATTTTATCATTATCAAATTTAAGCTTAGGCAACCCTCTTACTAGGTCTCCTTGAATTAACCGTTGCAAAACACTCATACTAGCATGTCCTAGTCTCCTATGCCATAACCAACTATCATGTTCATCCTTAGCAACTAGGCATAAATTAGTCATATCAAAAGAATCTAAATGTACCATGTATATGTTCCCTATTCTATGACCAACAAGCATAATTCGATTAGATGCAATGTCAATGACTTTACAACCATTAATTTTAAATAAGACATTAAATCCTTTATCGCATAATTGACTAATACTCAATAGATTATGCTTTAATCCATTCACATATAAAACATTTTTAATTTGTATGGAAGAGGTATTACCTATTGTACCAATACCTTCAATGTGATCTTTTGAATTGTCTCCAAAAGTCACTTCTCCTCCATTTTTGGAGTTAAGCTCAATGAACCAGCTTTTGTCTCCGGTCATGTGTCTTGAGCATCCACTATCAAGGTACCATGAATTTGAATTTGTTTCCCGTGCCTTGTAGCAATGCTCCTTTCCCTACAAACATAGATTAATTTTTGATTTTTGGTACCCAAATTCTTTTGGGTCCATATTCATTAGTTTCCAAAATCCTAGTCCCCTTAGGTATCCATTTGTGTAGGATATTTTTATCTTTAGTAGTAATGAGTTCTTTAGGAACCCACATACTTCTAACGATTTTTCCATTAGAGGTTCTTTGGGGACCTCTATGATTGTAGTTTCTAAAACTTTTTTCTAACAAAGTTGGATTTTGAATTTCCACCTTTTTCAAAATGTTTTGTTCCAACTTTATCAAAAGAAGTTTTAAGATCATCAATTTTCTTTTGATGATCATCATTGATCTTTGAAAGTAAATTTTGCAAATCTAAATTTTTCTTTTCAAACTCTTCTAGTTTGATTTGCAAATCTTTGATTTTACTTTCAAGATCGTTGTTGGTTTTGGATATGAGTTTGTTTTCATTTTTCAATTTTGAAACATCATTTTTATATTTTAAAAATAATTTCTCATAATCCGAAGCCAACCCATTATATTCCTCTAATAACTCATCATAGGATAAATCATCAAAATCGGATGAGTTAGAGGTTACCTTAGAATCTTCCCCAAATGCCATCAAGCACAAGTTAGCTACTTCTTGTTCCTCTTCATCGGAACTTTCTTCATCGCTCCATGTAGCCACATGAGCCTTGTGCTTATTCTTTGATTGACCCTTTTTCTTCAATTGTGGGCAATCATATTTAACATGCCCTGGCTTTTTGCATTCGTAGCAAATGATTGGGTTATTCTCTTTCGGTTCATTTTTGAGGCCTTCATTTCGTTTGAATTTTCTTCCTCGATAAGGTCTCATCATTTTTCTGAATCGTTTGGCAAACAATGCCATTTCCTCGTCATCATCATCATTATTCGAATCACTCTCATCTTTTGTGGATTTGAGAGCAACTCCAATGTTTTTCTTCTTCTCCTTCTCCTTTGGTGTCTCGTCAATCTTGTCGAGGTCCACCTCATCTTCGAGCATCATTTCATGAGTGAGGAGTGACCCAATTAGCTCTTCAAGAGTTAAGGACGTTAAATCCTTAGACTCGATGATTGATGTCTTCTTTGATTGCCACGATTTTGGGAGGGAGTAGACTAACGTCCTCACAAGCTTTTCATTTGAAATGATCTCTCCATATGATTTGAGACCATTGACAATCGTTGAAAATCTATCCGTCATAGCTTTGATATCTTCATTTGGTTTCATCATGAAATTTTCATAGATATGCGTTAGAATACTAATTTTAGATTTCTTTACCTCATCGGTACCTTCATGAGTGACTTGAAGTTTGTCCCATATTTCTTTGGCGGTTGTACACAATAAACTCTTCCGTATTCATCTGGTCTAAGAGCACAAAAAATGATATGGATGGCTTTGGAGTTGAGCTGGAACATTCTTGTCTCTCCTTCACTCCACAACCTTGGATTAGTGAGAGGTTTGATGTATCATTCTTCTACAGTATTCCATGCTCCCATGTCACTTGCTTGAATGAAGTACATCATTCTATTCTTCCAATAGGTATAGTTAGCTCCATTGAAGAAAGGAGGCTTGTTGACGGGCATCGAGTCGAGACCGGAGTCGAAGTTTGAAGCGGAGGCCATTGATGACTTTGATTATCGATATAACTCTTCCCGAATCGACTCAAGAGGCGATTAAACCTTCAAATGAGTTAGGCTCTGATACCAATTGTTGAGTTAATCGATTGACGAATATGGCCAAAAGGGGGTGAATTGGCAATTAAAAAATTTGGTGGAAGCTTTTGCAGAAAATTGAAAGAAATTGCACAGCGATTTAGAGTGGTTCGGCTTTATCAACCAAAGTCTACGTCCACTACCTTAGCTATCCACACTAAGGATTTTCCAACAAATTCACTAATTTGTTCTTTCTTTTGAGGCCAAAGAGATAACCTTACAACTCCCTCAAGAATATACCCCAATTCTTGAGAACACTCTTTTCTCAAAGAGAAATACAAATTTGCAAACTTACAAGAAAAACCTCACAAGGCAAATATGTTTGCACAATTCTAGAACAAAGAAAGAACACTCAAGAATAAATACAATTGAGCACAATAAGTGTTCTTGAAAACAAAATGAATATTGAATGAAAAATAGGCTTGAAATGCTCAAACTTGAGGTTTGATGCTTTCTCTTTGATTCTCTCTTGATTCTAATTGCTTGATGTTTCTTGTTTTTGATCAATGGCTTTTAAGCTTGCTTAAATACACCTTGAATCACTTTTGAACGTTGGAGATAATTAGAGAAAATAATATAGCCGTTTTAGTGTGAAAACAATTAATAAAACAGTTTGGAGCGTGGGGGGAATCGGTACCCCCTATGGGGAATCGGTTCCCTAAGTGTAAAATTCAAATATTTCGACCGTTATACAAGGGGGAATCGGTACCCCCTGGGGGGGATCGGTTCCCTCCGAGCATACTGGAATTCTCAGAGCCAAACCATTCAGGGGGAATCGGTACCCCCTTGGGGGGGAATCGGTTCCCTCTGAGCAATCTGGAATTTTTGGCTTTGAAATGGTTCGAAATGCTTTGTAAAATTATTTTGAAATTGCTTTAAGTTTAAAACTTAATTTTACACTTTGAGTAAGGATTAAAAATGATCTTTGAAAGATTTGGAGTAATGTTTTGATATTCGAATAATTCTATCGAATATACTTAGAAAATCATTTGGAAAATCTTAAAATTCATTTAACTTAATTTGTTATATCGAAATATCAAAATGTTTTCAACAGTCTTAATCCTTAGACATTCAATGCTTTATTAATGTTTTGGTTTGATGTAAAAAAAATTGTTTGGTAGAATTAAAAAATGAAACTTTGTTTTGTAAAATACACATTTTAATCTAACTCGTATTTTTCTCATATTTCTTCTCATCTCCCCTCTAAAATTTGAACACAAATATAATAATATCATAATACTAACTTACTCCATTTTAAACAACTCTCTTTAATTATATGCAATATACATATGCGGATTTTCTCATATAATTTTTCGTATGTGTAAGTAAAATTTGTAATATTATTTAGTAAATTAAATATCATTTAAATTTATATAATATATTTATAATGCTCACTCTTATAAAATAATGGATTTTGATGATAAAATATAGATGATAGCATAAAAAGAGTTCATTGGTTGACATGGATAAAGAATTTGATTATTTAGTTAAATGTTCATTTAATAAAATCATCTTTGTACATTTTGCTATGAGTAAAATGGTTCATCTATTAAAATGTTTATATGCTTATTTATTTAAATGTTGATGTAAAATTTTAATATATATTTAGATAAATTATGTAAAATTTAATATTAATTAAAATTAAAATAATACATAATATATTTACTCTTTTATTCTACCATTTATCTTTTAAATTTTATAAAAAAATTATATATAAATTTTATTAAAAAATATATATATATATATATATTAAAAATAATAAAATAATATATTCTCGAATAATTTTTATATAAATATTTTCATTTAAATATTTAAAATTCCACTTGTTAAAAAATATATAACAAGGACAATTTCGTAAAATATACATTTCAGTAATCTTTTATTCATTCAACCAAACACAATAATCTTATATTCTTGCCAAACAAACCAAACACAGTAATGTAACATTTCCAATAATGTATTAGGTAATGTTATATTCCGGTAATCCTATTCCCGGAGGTAATCTTATATTCCGTGAACCAAACGCACCCTTAGTAGATATGTTCAACCTCATCAAAATATGTAATTGTTTGACGGACACATAATTTTGGAGGCTTCAAAGAACTTCGGAGGATATTTGATTATTATATAAATTGATTTAATAGAAAAGGGTCATACTCCTTACATATTTATTTGGTACTATATAAATCTATTGTTTTGTATCTGATAATGAGTAGGAGGTACATATGCAAATACTTGGCAATCGGCATCATTCATTTCTAGTTGGATTCTGGACCAGGGTCTGTATTAGCAACAGGGGTGGCAGAAGCTCCATCATTGGTGGTTGAGGGTGAAACTTTAGATGCAGCACCATTGTGTGCAGCGCCTTGGCCTACTGATGTAGGAATCAGCCCTTGTGCCTCCAATGCCTCGCGCGCGGCTTTCTCTTTGGCTCTTTTTGCCCTTTCGAACACCTCCTCCTGTGTGCATGAATTAAGGGGATACAATGGAGAAATGCAGCAAAACTTGCAGATGCACAAATTCAAATTCCAGAAAAGAAGGAAAATATTGATACCCAATTGCATTTACTTGGGAAATAAAAAAGGATTTCCCTAAGATTCAAAGAAGTTGGATTAATGTATTATCCATGAGGTAAAGGTAGAGAAGAGGTAAAAGGTTATCAAAAGTGCCGTTGATACAATATATTCGAGAACATGAACGTGACAGTTCTCAAAAAATGTTTCTCGCATCAACATTTAATGCTTCCTTGTAAGAGAAGGAAAAAATATACCAGCATAAGAAGGAATTTAAAACAAATGATGACTGCAATTTTGTTGTAAGGCTTCCAAGAACAGATGTCAAAAGCAGAGAGAAACCTCCTGTTTAAATGCCTTAAAATTATTGTCATTTTTTCCAATAAGGTTCCCATAACACTATGAAGCAGAAACAGACACAATGGCTCAGCAGAACACAAGTACCTTAATCCAAATCTCAAATTTAAAAATAAAAAAAACTCTCCACTGGTGGAATTTGTGTATATTAGCAAATAAGCTTATTCCCTTTTGAAATAAACCCAGAAAGGTGATCGTACAAAGACAAAATCCTTGACATAAACCATCAATTCATCAAGTATTGGATTAAAGAATAAAGTGTCACTACCTGGAAATCCTGCACTTGCTTCTGTTGCTCGGCCTGCAACCTACCAACAACACTCAAAAACTCACCAATGGTGGACTCAATTCGCTCATTCAATGCTTCAGCTAGAGCCTTTCCCAAGAAAAAAGCATCCAGCACATTCCTGCTTTCATTATCTCCTGCAAAACCAAGTATCTCACTCAGTTGCACATAAAAGAATGGAAGAAAAACAAAAGGATCATAGCTACAATGGTTCTTTACTTTTCTCAAGAAATACACAATTAATGCCTTAATCCCACAGGTACAGAGCCTGAACACAATTGTAACCATGTTAGACCAGTATTTATCGTTCGTACTTAATTTTCAAAACAAGATAAGATTTTTGCTTTATTACCTCGATTATAACGAGCTTAATGATGCTATCTTGATGAGTTCATCTGTGTTTTTACATTGTAAATATAAAAAAATAGGGGGGATTCGTTCATGTGTAAATATACCCTCTATTGTATATTTTCACAACAGCACCCAAATCCAATTTCAACTCAAGGAATCAAAGATTTTAATTATTATGTTAATATACATATTCTCGATAAAATTAAAGTTTATGGAGCATGAAATTCAGGAACGAACAAGGCAAAAGATAAACCCAGATACTTAGGATCGTAACCCCAAAAGCCACATAACAGTGATGAATTTGAACACCAAAGAAAAAGCATAAAAGGGAATTTACAGCAAGAAACTAAAAGGGAGCTACACCTGAACCAGGAGCCCCAGGTCCGGTGCTACTTCCGGAGATAACACTGCGTCTCCGAATCACTCCGGTGCCACCAAAGCTAAAACTTGTACGACCGAGATCTGAGGGACATAACTTGGTACTAGGAATCACAGCAGAGTTACAAGGCTTAATACAACGCCTGCTTTGGATCTTAGATTGTTGAATCGAGGGGAAAGTAGAAGTGGATGTTGGAGCTGAAGCCAGACCACTCATGCTTATTCTCTGTAACTTGCTACTATCTATGTGCTTTCTTTCTTTTCTTCTTCGGTAGTAGTCTGTCTGAGTTCTCAGGCTTGAGCTTCCATTTTTGATATTTCTCTACCTCCTTTGTCTGCCATAAATCTAGTAGATTTTCTTGCAATAAAAATGGATTTGGGTTTTGGTGTTTAAATCCAACTGACTGGGCTTGGAGCTTTTGTTTTGTTTGATACTTGGATGCTAAGGAACAGCCGGCTCTCCCACATATATTTTGGACCTTTTTTTTAAAAAATTATACTTTTGGACTTAATTGTAGCAAACGGGTTTTGTTCTATGCCTATATTTGAAATTCATCTTCAAATTTTAGAATATTTTAATGGGTAATGGTCAGGTTTCTTTTTAGATATAATGATAAAATTTACCCTTAATATTCGATAAAATTATTATTTTGATTCATATTCTTTTTTATTTGAGCATTTTTGTCCCTCCTAACATTTTAATTTTGGGTGAAATACCTATGATTGGATGGAAACCATTAGTAGATAACGATAAATAATTATCACTGACATGACAAGTTTTATATGTCCAAAATAATGATGTAATATATATTTTTACTTATGCACATTGGGTATGTGCCACACTAACCCTTTGAATACGTGGCATATATCAAATCATCATTTATGTATACATGGCGGATCATTATTTTGGACACAAAGAACTTTTCACATTACCGACAAGTGTTAACCATAAACTAACAGTTTCCATCCAATCATCAATCATTTTTTTCTTGAAATAAAATATTAGGGGATAAAATATTCTAAAAAAAGAATAAGGAACAAATTGATTATTTTATCAAATGTTAAATATATTTTTGACATAATGCCCTTCTTTTTAGTATTAAAATCTCATTATGTCATCAGGCCCATAGAGTTGTTCTTTCATCTCTTTGATTTCATTGTATCACCCGGCCCACTAAACATGTACGCAACACTAACCCACGAATAAAGATGTAACATTTATTGTCTATATTTATATTATATATTAAAAGTTCGTAGAAATTTAATTTTAAAAATTAATTTAACTTAAGTTCATTAAAAATATTGATTGGTTTGTTATAAATCGATAATGTTAGTGACTAATTTGTTATAAGTCGATAACGTTAGTAACTAATTTATTATTTTTGAAACTTCAGTAGAAAAAACGAAAATTTACTCAATAAATTAGTGTAATTTACCCTAAGTATAACTAATTCATGGGCTAAAAATATCATTAAACCTCGTAATAATCCATGCTTGATCCAATTCGATTAATATTTATCAAATCAAATGTTCGGTGCATACATAATTAATTGGTTACATATATTGTTATGCTGATAAACTACTTGCGAGGGAAAACGGTTTATTTTTCCTTTGTTGGTTCAATCATTGTTGTTAAGAGCTATTTGTGATTACCCTTCTTTTATCTTTTGCAGAACTGCCTCTAATAATTTTTTTATTTAAACTAAATAAATAAAATGCAATAATTAGTGCTTTCTTTTGACTTTTCCTTGCTGTTGGAATTAAAAACATAATAAAAATAAAGAAAGGGTCGTCGCCATGGACAACATACTTTTCAAACCGGAATAGATAAAAATGTGTGAGGAGAATGAAAATAGCCTACCCTTGACAATGAATAATAATAATAATAATAATAATAATAATAATAATAAGATACTACAAAACTTTTTATTCTAGAAACACACAGCACAAACCCAAAGCTAAATTGCCCTCCTTATATATATATATATATATTATTTGGTCAAATTATGGTATTAGCCCCTACAACTGTACTATTACTTACCAACCCCTTCTTTTATATTGTTTTAAGTTACTTCAAATAGTTACACGAATCAAGCGAATTTAGTTGTTAAAATGATGATTGTTATCTATGATGGTCTCGGATTCGAGTCGATGTCTATAAATATTTTGAATATTCAATGTCAAATGATTAAGAGTCTTTTGAAGAAGTACTATATTATGATCAGTCACACTAATAAAATGTTAATTAATTATTCTAGTTAAAATACTATATGAAAAGTTCATCAAAACATCCGATATAAAAAAGCATGTCAGCATGATAAGTTGGAAGTAAATATGAGAATGGAGTGGGATGTGATTTATCTTCGTCCTACAATTATAGATACTGAAAATATTTATATTTATAGATGTCAGTTATATTTATAGTTGTTGTATGGGACTTTATTGTACTTCTTTTATCGATAAATTTTTAATTGATTTCAAATTTTACGTGAGGGCTCAATTATTTTTTTATCTGACTCTTAAGCCAACATGAAATGATAAAATTATGTAAAATTGGAGGGATTATATTATAAATGTGAGCATACTTAGGGTCCAAAACCATAAATAAAAAAACGCTTACATATTTCAAATTGAAAAAATATATTTGAATTTCAAAGCAGAGACTCCGTGGAATGGCAGCCCCGGCCAGTTAAATAAACAAAATTTGAAAAGAAAAAGTCAAGGAAGCTCTCGCAATAAAATCCTTTGAATTCATTTCCCTCAAAGCAAAATCCTCAATTCCTCTCTTGTATAATACACAAACATTTGTTTCCATCACATAAGTAGGGGTTAAGGAGTCGGTGAGATGGGGCAAGAATCGCTGATCTACGCCTTCGTGGCACGGGGCACCGTGGTGATAGCCGACTACACCGAATTCACCGGCAACTTCACCGCCATAGCTTATCAGTGCCTTCAGAAACTTCCTGCTACCAATAACAAGTTCACCTACAACTGCGATGGCCACACCTTTAACTATCTCGTCGATAACGGCTATAGTAATCTACTTTCCTCTGTCTCTCTCTCGTTATTTTTTCTTATTTCGTTAATTTCTCTCTCTGATCTGCCTTTTTATTGCTTATTTGATCCAAGAAGAAGTTGTTTCTGTATTTGTTCTCGTTGTTGTTGTTGATGGTCGATTTTTCTTCGCTGCTTGCGCTTTTTTTTTCTGTTTATTACATGATTTTTATTTGGCTGTTTCAAGTGATTTGGGAAAGTGATAGAATCGGTTTTGGATTCTTTTAGTTTCAAGGAAAGAGCATGTTAAGATTGTAAACTAAATGAAGTATGCATCTTTTGCGGCGATATTTAATTCGAAAGTTAATGAAATGTAAAGTGATGGTTTAATTTAACTTATAAACGAAACTTTCCAGAATTGACTTGGAATAAAAAGCGAAAGATTTAATGTTTGGCTGATTCTAATGAACTGAATCTGCATAAATATCTTGTGACAAAGGCTTTCTTAGCCATATTTAGAAGCAAAAGCAAATTCATTATATTCTGAATAATTAAAAATAGGAAATGTAAATTTTTTTCAACTACCGAAATTTAGATTTTTATATAAGCAAATCATATATGTACATGTTTTATAATTTGATCACATGGTCATTCTTATTCTTATAAAATATTATTTTACTTTTTACCATTTACTCTTGAAGAAGCAAAAAGTAAATAGTAATCAAGCCTATATAAAGTTTTCTGCTGTTTATCTTTTCTTTTATTTTCTTTTACCCCTTTATCATTTTAAAGTCTGTTGTCTTTTCGCATGCCTCTCCATAACTATGATGCATAAGCTCTGAAGAACCAACATGAACTGTAGCTATAATGGTTAGAACCCTGCTCGTTTTGAATTCATCCTTCCAGGTCCATAATTTCCCCTGAATTTTCTTTTGCTCAAATTATGATATGTTAAAAAGGCAACAGTTGTACATCTATTTTACTTTGACGAGAAACATTAATTTTAGAACATCCATATTATAAATACACTTGCATCACAAAATCTTGTAGCATAACAGAAAATATACATGTTTGCAAATTTTCAATTTCACTTGAGTCTATTATTGAGTGTTTCTAATATACATACTTTTTACGTTATGTAAATGCATAACTTCAGCCAATGTTTAATGCCCTTTGGTCACACCCACTATAGTTGTAGAAGAAGAGCCATGGTTGGTCCTTTAATGTTTGCTTGTATATTGAAAGACTGAAAGTTTAAGTGTTCATTTCCTTTTGGTGCCTGCATGATGTTTTCCTATTACTTTAGTGTTAATTTCTTTTTGGTGCTTGCATGATGTTTTCCTATTACTTCAAAAGTTTTTTTACAATCTCTACTACGAAACGAGGCTACATCATTCCTTTCTTGAATTAAGCCTCCTTCCTTCCTCTTTGCAGCCTACTGCGTGGTTGCTGTTGAATCTGCTGGCCGACAGGTCCCAATTGCCTTTCTTGAGAGAATTAAGGATGATTTTACCAAGAGATACGGTGGTGGAAAAGCTGCAACTGCTCCTGCTAACAGCCTGAGCAAGGAGTTTGGGTATTTTCTATTCTTGACCATTAACTACATTGCCTTGTTTGTTATAAAGTACATTGATGCTATGTATTTATTACCATTGATCTAGGCCGAAATTAAAGGAACATATGCAATATTGCATTGATCATCCGGAGGAGATTAGTAAGATTGCCAAAGTGAAAGCCCAAGTTTCAGAAGTCAAAGGAGTAATGATAGAAAACATTGAAAAGGTTGTTATTTTCATAGTTGCCTTACTAAATGATAACTGAAGTGTGCTAGCTAGGAGTCCACTTCACAAATTTCTTGGGATCTTTTTTATTTTGTTTTCTTCATGAACAACTTTATTTTACAGGTTCTGGACCGTGGCGAAAAAATCGACATTCTGGTAGATAAAACAGAAAACCTTCGCTCTCAGGTCAGCAACATATTATCACATATTGCCTTTCCTTATAATATGGGCAGTGTCCTCGGGTCAACTGTTCCTTCCTCTATTTTTTCCCCTCGTTTCTAAAAGCATTAATCAACACCATTTCTGAGAAGTTCAAGGGAGTTAGCTGGATAGTCAAATTTGAAAACCCAAAATTTTCATCCCAGGATTCTTCTACCATCGATTCAAAACTATAGGCAATGGATTTGGGATGTTTGCCTTAATTTAAAGGATTTTTTTTTATATAACATGGGTGCTTTTTGGTTTGGTATTATAGGCACAAGATTTCAGGCAACAAGGAACTCGGATGAGGAGAAAGATGTGGTGGCAGAACATGAAGGTGAAACTGATAGTTTTGGGAATCCTGATCGCCTTGATTCTCATAATTGTACTTTCCATTTGTGGTGGCTTCAACTGCTGAAGAATACCATCATCATGCATTGGTATTGTTGCAGTCGCAACCGTATTGATGATCGTCTAGTTACACATCTCTTGATTCCACGTGCTTTTTCTTTCTTTTCCGTTGTGTAAATTGCAAGAAAATGTGCTGTATATTACAATTTGTATTTTTGGGTTCGTTTGATTACATTAAGTTCCTTGATGTGTGGAAATTCATTTTTAAGCATTGATGTTTAACGTATATTTCGATAATAATCATTCAGTTTACTTTTCACTTTAAAAGTACATAAAAACAATAATATTACATCTTGAAAAGATAGAGAACATTCATCTCATGTCGTAAAGAAAAAAGATCCCAAAATATAAAAATGGTGACATTATATATTCTATGAGACATGTCTTTTGAGAGGACTAATATTCTATAATAAGATCTTTTCACAATCTACTTTCACATTGAGTGTATCAAAAAGAGGTAAGCAAGGTAGACAACTGTAACATCATCAGCACAAGATTGAGTGAGTGAGAAAATCACATCTCGGAGAAGTGTGAGGCATTAATCCAACATTCGAAAGATCCTTGAATTTGAATTTTTTTTTTAATCTGATGAGCCAAAAAAAATTTCACTTTAGTTTATAAAAGTTAGACTAATGCACGTTAATCCCACACCATTGTTTATTGCTCTTCCCATATGGAAAAATTATTTAATTAAATAAGTGGGTCTAGGCTGAAGATGTAGTTTCATTTCATATGCTGATTTCCATGTTATCTATCAGCCTAACCTTGCCAAACCAGGCAGCAATGCAGAACACAGCAGGACTCTTGATCTCTGTCTCTGCCTTCAAACTGTCCTGGTCTACTATCTGCATCCAAAGCAAAAATATATCGAAATTAGGAGTTGCCGACTTAACTTTTCCCATCCACATCATGAATACATGACATGAACACGACATTTTGAATAACCACGATTTGCATGACAGGATTAATACACAAAAAAAATGGCACATTAAATTTTTTGTTGTGTTTATTTTTACATGACTGACAAAAATACACGGTGCATACACGTGTTCCGAGGTCATAAGCTTCTAATATGAACTTCATGATATGCATACACGGATTCTGAGATCATAAGCTTCTAATATGAACGTCAAATCCTCTGGATGTTACGTCAAGGTCTTAAAGAGGGATAACAGGGGATATGAACTCCGCTGTTTGACAGCTGACACAGGACGAACCTGTTGGTAGTAACTTGACCTTATTCCGAAACAGCTAATAGAAAATTAGTAATGATGATGACAAGAAAAAGACAATAGAATAAATGAATGCTAAGGAAACAGAAAAGAATGCACAGAATCAGAGAAGGTAGGCATTTTGGATCAACTAGGATATGTTTTCAACCACACATGCTACTCGAAATATATGAGGTCGATAAGGCAATTGTATTATGTTTTAAGATTGGGACTCAGCACCATAGACGGCGTGGGGGGGGGGGGGGGGGGGCTACACAGCACTGGCACTAAGGGTGGAGATGGGGTCAGGGATCACTGAACATGCTCTTTAATAGCTTCAAAATAGGAATGCCATTTGGCTACTTAATTACTTAATATTTCCAATCTACACAGAAGATCAAGGAAGACAGATTGTACTAACCTCAGCATAATCGATTCTTCCCCCGGCTTGAGTTATTGTTAGGATAGTCAAATCCTTTAGTTCGCTACATTTAACTAGACCGTCTTTAGCAGCGGACTTAGCCTTCAACAACGCTCTGCTAATAGACAATGCCTGCAACACAAAAATGAACTAAGTCAGTCGCATTTACATGGAATCTTATTTGTAACAGTTAGCACATTAGATTAACGCATTTGATCCATTATGCAAGGCACTATATAATGAGACTTAAGCATCTAGATGTATATCATCTCCATCAAACATATCACTGGAAACCTCTATAAATCAAGAATCACATCACAATAGAACAAAGGGTTAAAACAATCAAAGAACATTTTCCCTTTCTTTAGGGGAGAGATGCACATTTCGTGAACTCATTGCAAGGCCGTCGCTATCTCGCATTATTTCAGACCCCACGATTTCAATGGCAAAATCGAGATCTCGAACCTGTAGTGAATGAAAGCACACCAACATGAACTAACCATTTCAAAATCTAATTAGAACAAAGGAGATTAAGAGAGTAAAAAAATCTCACCATCCGTTGTATAATCCTCCACTGCTGATAATCCTTTTTACCAAAAACAGCAACATCAGGTTCCACAATGTGAAACAACTTGGTAACAATGGTAGCAACCCCTCTAAAGAAAACAGGCCTACGTTTCCCACACAATCCTTTCTCCAATCTCTCAACTCTAACCCATGTTTCATGCCCATTCCCCTTATCCTCTACACAGGAAACCAACCCACTGGCATAACCAGAACCCAAATTCTCACTCTCTTGCTTCTCACCACTATCATTGCTATAGTCATACAGATTCTTAGGACAAAAAACAGCATCAACTCCACCGGGAACAGACAAAATAAATTAAACTACGTGTAAAATTTGATCATTAGTTTAACAGAAATAATGATGTGTAAGGGAAAATGGATTTTTAAGAAAAATAGATAAACTACATTTATAATCGTTAAATATTTAGATACTTTTATTTTAATCATTAAAATCGAAAACGTTCATTAAAATACGACAGTTAAATCAGTAATAATATTTATTATTTAATGTAATTTTTTTTATAAAATGATATTTAAAAAAATAACTTTGATTAAGATTTAAACCTAAAACGCCTAGAAAGGAGTCTAAAAGCTAATCACTTATATAAGTTGTAAAAATTAGTTTAAATGTTAAGGGAGGAGAAAAAAATATGAAAATTTGCATATATTTTTTTTCTGAAAAAATGTATATTAAAATTTTGTACTTCTCTTTTTTTAATTTCTGAATCCGTCACTGTTTATTGTATTAGTAAATTTAGTGGATTTGAGAAAAATATGTCAATTCATCCATTTCTTGACATATTTAGATAGATCGAAGAGCTAACAATAAAAAAACTAAAATTTCTTAACATGTTAACATAATACACACATTACAGACGTTACTGCTCGAATCTAAGACTTATAAGGAGTTCAACATTCTTAATTTAGGGAAAAAAGAAGATATAAACAACAAACTTTTAATCACTTACAACCAATAACAATCTTAATTAAACAACTAACTTGGTAAAGTATTAGTTTTTTTTCTTCATAATACTCTTATTAAAATAAACAATAACTACTAAGAATTTTTATAAATATACTGAATAAAAAAATGAAGAAAAGTCTTATCTAATAAAAAACAATAATTAAATTTCTAAAATATTTTATGTCAGAACCCATGAAAGACTTGAAATTCAAATATCAATAGCTCCATAAGAAGAATATATATATATATAAGAAAATATATATAAAATTAATAAAAATAATTGCATAAAGTAAAAAAAAGAAAACATGAAAGTCAAAGAAAATCACTGCGATTAATTTGATTCGCTTGAAAATTTTAGGAAAACAAACCATAGAGAAAAAAAACTAAGGTGATTATTAAATTTCGACAATAAGAATTTTTTTATCATCGTAAGTGTTATATCGGTGACGGATAAAATGGGTCACAAACGTAGATAAGTAGGTTTGGTGGTTCCAATATTGTGGTGAATTAACCCTAATTATGATATCGGACGATAATTGGTTTGTATCAAAACTATTACTTTTGTTCTGTTTTGGTATTTAAATTTTATTTTCTTTTAAAATCATATTTAACGTTTAGTTTAAGTTTTAATTCGATATTCATCGTTAAAAAATTAACAGAATTGTTGACGTGACACTTTTTTTTATTTTTTTTCAATTGATGACTTTGCATCACCTTATGATGACATGTCAATCTTATTGTTAAGTTTTAAGTTTTTAAAGGGGGAGATATCGAATTGGAACATAAATTAAATGTTAAGTATGATTTTTAAAAAGTAAAATTTAGGTATCAAAACAGAACAAAAATAATAGTTTAGATACTAAATGTTTAGTTTACTCTAATATTTATTAAAGGATTTAATGATTTAATGATTAAAATATAAAAAAAAGTTAACCAAAATAAAAGCACTTTAAAAGTTGGATGACCAACTGAATAATTTATAATTAATGTTGTTAGAAATCTAGTGCTTCAAATGATTAAAATTGACAAATAATTAAATGGAGTAAATTGGACCAGGAGGGTCGTCATTGTCTCTGTAATACTTAATTCGGATTGGTAGGTTAATAAATAGAATATCAATAGTTATACCAAAAAATTAATAATTTTCTCGTGACTAAGTTGAAAGGATTCTTTTTATTATAAAAAATGAAAACATCCTAAAAATTAGATCATCATCAAAAGTCATTTAATATTATTTTTAATAGTATGAGGTGATTATAAGGTAATATATGTTCATATTTTTTAATTATTTTGCAATACATATATACTCTGCACACGTAACTGTTCAAACTCATAACTTTAAGGGAAAACGACACTTCTTTTAACCATTAAGTCCATTCATTGTGATTTAATATTAAAATAGATAAAATTATGTAAGTTAAATTTTATACAAATTATATATAAAATAATTTACTTTATTTATTAGTTAAGTAGTAAGGACTAATGTGATCAATTTTCATAAAAAAAGTCAAATAGGTTTCGGAAATAATGGTATCATTATTTATAGCACACCCTATTCCTACACATCTAAAAGCACTAATCCAACCATAAATACACTAAGCCATACATTGTAACAAGTATAATTAATCATATTAGCAAGCTAACTGACCTCTAAATGAGGAGATCTCTTCAAAAATGGGCAATCTCTTTGATCTAATCGGTGCCCATCGACGGAATCATCATCAAGTCCCAGAGTATCTGATATTCCCGATGCCGGTGGCTCGAATGATTTGATTTCCATCAACAATTCCGTAGCTCTGTTCCTGGCTCTAATGTCTTCCGAACCCGGAATTTTTCGTTTGAGTATTTCGTCGAGCACATTACACGCATCATCGTATTTGCCTTGTTTAATTAAGCAAAGACCCAAGTTGCAGGCCTTGTTGGCATCTGGGTCGATCATCTGCGCTTTTCGAATCACCACCTCGGCTGTCAAGTAGTTTGATTTTTTCATGTAAACCCACCCCAAATTTCCCTGTGATATTCCACCATTGAAGTTTTCCATTGAGAAGGAAAAGACACTCAGAAAATGGGAAGGGAAATGGAAATCATACCAGTAATCTTGAAGTTTCTTGCTGAACTGATACTTGAAACTTCTTGCCATGGGAGCGTGCGGTCTTGGCGCGTTTTCCATTGAAGATCTCCCCCCCCCCCCGTATATTAATCTTAGCTTTCGTTTTAATAACTCAATCTGCTCGTCTACTCTCCCACATTTCTGCCATGATCAATGTAATTATTCGATCATTTCAATTAAGATCCTTCCACACTCGTATCCTTTATTTGTATCATTTTAAATTTTGTTTTGAAGGTCATGGTTCGAATTGTGGTGTTTGCAAAGGGAATAAATTGAATTGGGAGGTTCTCTGTAGTACCTGATCTAGATTATATCTAAGTTTCAATTGATAGGATTAAACTAAATTATATTTTTTATGATTAAATTAAAATTTGGAGTTGAGTAATAATATTTATTGATGAAAAAGATAATATTATAATTACTTTGTTCAGTTATTCATTTTAATTCATTCTGATTATTTATCGTTTATTTTCTTTCATAATATCACATTGTTCATCATCTTTTTCAAATTATTTATTTTCTTTCTCCTTTATAATAACCCATCGTGATTTTTTATTACAATCAAAAAGGATAAACCGTTAAAATTGCAATAATCTCATTTTTTTCCTATCAACGATTAATAATATTTGAATCAGAATCGGTAAGGATGGAAATACCTTGTATAAGTCGATGAGAACATTGTCAAGTGATTCCTAAGCTTGTTTGGGGCAACGGCCTCTGAAAGACTTGATGGCCTCAATGGCTTCCTCACACCGGTTGAGTTGCTTCATCACCACCGTCATATCTTTCAGTGCACTCTCTACTCTGTCCCCCGCATTTATCGCCTTCCAGAACAGTATTATTGCTAGGGGTGTATTCGGTTCGGTTCGGTTCGGTTTTTTATCAAAAATTGAACCGAACCGAAATAAACGATTTTTTAATATTTAAACCGAAACCGAAACCGAATAGTTAAAAAACTGAAAAAACCGAAACCGGTTTTTTCGGTTCGGTTCGGGTTTTTTAACGGTTCGGATTTTTCGGTTCGGTTCGGTTCGGTTTTTCGGTTTTTCAATGAAAAAATCACTTGAAACTATAATTTTTTTTACAAGAATTGCCTATTCGGTTTAATATGGAACAAATGGGTTCCATATGGAAAACCCGAACCGAACCGAATCAAAAAATAAGCCTTTAAACCGAACCGAAAACCGAACAGTTTAAAGCCAAACCGAATCGAACCGAACCGTTTTACTCGGTTCGTGTCGATTTTTCGGTTTTCTCGATTTCGTTGCTCACCCCTAACTATTGCTGCTTCCGGATCCTTTTCTACCAGCTGCCTCAATCAATTCAACACGTAAGGATCATAATTTAAACCTAAAAATTTATTTCACTAAAAAAATAAATTATGATAAATAATAGAAGATAGTAATGGAGGAATTGGTGTTCCAAAGTCATCGAATTGTTGGCAGTTGAGAAAAATTGAAAACTAAATTGTTTGTTTACAAATAGCGACGGACGTACGTTTTGGAAAAACACATTCGTAAGGAACGATACAATTTCCGTTCTCTTTTGCCTCTTAGCTTTGTTTAAGCGGTGCTTTTCTTCTTTTCTTCTACTTCTTACCTTTTCACGATTATAATTCTAACTAAAAGCCATCCCCAATAAATGGGATGGTTTGATCTCTAATTTATGGAGATAGTTGTAAGATGTTTTACTATTGTGAAATAGATTATTTAATAATGATGTGTATGAAATAAATATTAATATATCATAGTTGCTTATATCTCTATTCAAAATATTTCTTAATTATTAACAACGAATACACACCTACAGACGTAGTTGTTCGAATCCATAATCTTTAAATAAAACAACACTCTAATTAACCACTACTAAGATTACTTACCAGATTCAACCTTATTATGACTTAAAATGATTGCGTTGATTAAATAGGTTTCAAGTCTGAAAAATCTTTAAATAATTGATTAATTAAATTTGAGCCAAATTAAAAGTGCAAAAAATCATTGTACATATTTACTTTTTTACAAGATCAATAAAGCATTCAATAAATTATATTTTTCTGAGTTCAATTTCATAAGTTGTTTGACATAAATAATACAACAAAATACAGACGATAATGATATGCAAACAATATGATGAAAAAGAAAGAAAGTTGAGGATGCAAACAATATCATTCCATAGTGGTCCTATCGTGTCCAAAATAAGTATTAGCATTGCCACTACATTATATAATATTGTATAA